AACTCCCTGCTGGAACACTGCCGTCCATCGAAAAGGAATACACGAAGTGGAGGTCCACCGGTGATGCTATCGACGAGGTAGCTATTACTGATGAAGATCTCAGACTTCCAAGCAGGTCGGATATCGACAGCCTGCTGAAGCGAATATAGAGGGAGCTATGCCGAATTACTTTTTCTTTCATCTTCTTTGTAATTAAATGGCCTTTGCAAGGTCTTGCTTCTTCTTTTTTTTTTGTAATGACTTTGCCCGAAAGGACTTTTATAATGGAGTTTTGTTTGTTATAGTTTGTGTAAAAGCGTTAGTCTTTTAAAGCTTTGGTCGTGCAATGGAACTTTTTAGTTTGGAACTGAAAGCAGGATTCCTTTGCCCCTCTTATACCAAACGACGATCAAGATCGAATACCAAGCTTTCAGGATTCGCTTGGCCTGAAAGGTATGATCGAGGGTCGTGCGAGTATTGTCCTCTGCTTTCGTCTTATCCACTTCGGGAAGTAATTAAATCAAACCGAAGTATCAAATGAGTGGTGATCAGCTACAAAGTTAATTTTTGTGTTTGCTTTTTTCGAATCGAATGTTTGGCCAAAACATCAATTCAGCAAGATGCATTCGCATAAGAAAATACGACTCTACACGCCGAGCTAATTTTCCAAAAATAAAATTTATTAAATCTTATAGCTGCACCCAGAGGTTGCCTATATACCCAAATTAGGATCAAGCTGTTGGTAGTTCATTACAATTAACGAATGAGTATTATCACTCAAGAGCCAATCTGGCTTAAAATAAAAAGACTAAGTAGTATTGAGGCGGCTAGATTCGTTATCGAACCCACTTCGCCTATTTGGCGTCCTCAAGGGCTTTTGCCGCAGAGAGTCGCACTTTGCGTTCGCTAATAAAGAAAGATCTTGCCATCTGCTGATTGCCATGAAGCGTGAAGATTCCGGCCGAGGTGGCGAACTTCATGCATTGATGATAGGTCGACACAATGGCTTTCATCTCGTGGATCTAAGGTGTGCCGAGTATGGCATTGTAGATTGCTGGTTTATCCATGACGGTAAATTTGACAATTTTTGTCACTCCGCCAACGTAGACTGTGAGTCGTATAGTTGAGAGGCTGGAGAAGGATTCGCTGGCAAAGCCGGTCAAAGGTTTTGGCGCTGCCTTGATGTCTTTGTCTTGGAGCCTCATCTTGATCAATGTATCTTGGAAGATGATATTGACAGTGCTGCCGGTATCCACCAATATTTTAGCCACCTCGCTATCGTTGATGTGTAGTTCGACCACGATCGGGTCATTGTGTGGGGGTGTGCAACCCGTGCATGTCTTTTGATGTGAAAGTGATCGTGGGGTGGTAGTCCACCAGACGAGGGAATTTGCGTGAAGTGATTGCTTTGCGGCCATACTCTCTGATGGCGTGAACCGAATCATCGCAGTCGGAGAGTCCTCCATGATCATATTGACCCGTCGCTTTGGCGGCGGGGGGCGGATTGCCATGCTCGCCCTCATCGTTTGGATGCTCCGCCACCTTATCCTTTTCTTTTTCTTGGTGCTTCTTCTCAGGCGAACGGCTTTGGCGCATGCCTCCAGAACTGCTACGGTTACTGCTTTTCTCCGGATCTCGGTGATCTTTGCTAGAAGCGCTTCGGCGAGAATTCTTAGAGTTGGACCTGCGTGAGTAAGAGTTTTTGTTTTGGGATCGATCACCCCCAACGTCGATTTTACCCTCCTTGTATTTTTCATACAATGTGCTTTGGAGGTGTCGGCAGGCCGAGGTGGTGTTCCCGGTTCGACCGTGGAAGGAACAGTAGAGGTCATGATTGTCGTCCCTGTCATCCGAGCTCCTTGGAGGATCGCCGCGGGACCAATGATTCCAGGGCTTTTCTCCAGTAGTCACGACGGCGTGGGAGGATGACTTGCTTTTACCCGTGAGATCCTTATCCTGCGAGGTGCTTGGTACATCCATGTCGTGCTTCTTGGCATAGAAAATTTTCTCCTCTTCCATGCATATGAAAGTTTGGGCTCGGTGGAGCGCGTCCGCTATGGTTTCCTTCGGATTCTTCTGTAGATCCTCCTTGAAGGTGGATTCGAACCAGAGGCCGTTCATGAGTGCCTCGATGGCTAGGGCTTGCGGGATCTGACCGTATGCCGCAGCGGCGTTTTTGAATTTCTCGATGAAATCGCAGAGCGGCTGATCGCGCTCTTGCACCAGAGTAAAGAGGTTGACCGTCCTCTTTGTAATGAACATGTAGTAGTGTTTTATAAAGGCATGGGATAAATCCTTGAAGGATTTGATTGATGCCGGCGAGAGGTTGGAGAACCACTTCATAGCGTCCTTGCTGAGGTGCTCTACAAAGGTTTGACAGTGGTTGGCTTCGCGTTCGAGGTCAGTCTCGAATCGCTGCCTCTTTATGGCGACGTTGAATCCGGTCAGCCACAGGTTGGGGTCTTTCATCCCGTTGTAATACGAGAGCTTCAGTTTGATTGCTTCGCCAAGTCGCACATCGGTGATCTATGGGGCGAATGGATTGCGTTCGGCATCCGAGAGTATGGTCGAGATCTCGGGTGCCGAGCTGGTGGCGCGGTGGACTTGAGATCCGATTGCATTAATTCGCTGGTGCAAGCTCGCGATCTCAGAATTCAATTCGTCGGATGGATCTTCGTCGGCTGCTGTCGTGCCCCTGGTGTTGTTTTGCTCTGGTGTTTCGAAGATTAAATGTCGCCCGACCGGTTCCGATATTGCGGTGGTCACGGCCGCGAAGGCGCTGAGCTGCTCGTCGTATTTGGCTTGCTGGGCCTGGAGGGTGTCTAGTTTGGACACCAAATTTTGCGTGAGGGGGATCATGACAGCCTGGATGGCTGCTGTGAGGTCGGCGGCGAGGAGGGGAGCTGAGGGTGCTCCCATGGGTGGATTCGCGTTGGTAAGATTGCCATGCTCGTCGAGACCAGACGTCTCAGTATGGGTGGTGGTATCATCGTTGTTGCGGATTTGGTCGCTGTTATCGATCGGAAGGCTCATCGTTTCAGCTTTTGGTTGCTAGTCTTAAGAATTCTATTCTCATAGTCTCCACAGACGGCGCCAACTGTTGAACCAGAAAATCACCACTAGGGTTTGATTAACAGTTGTGGGTTTTAGAGAATAAGATCTTTTATTAATAGCAATAAAACGAAGCGATTACAAGAAAGTTATAACCGAGAGGTTATGCCGAAGTGAAAAGGGTGTTTGCGAGGTAAACTAGAAAGAGTTGGAATCTCTGGTTTTAGCTCTGCTGCTCTCTAAATTGTATGAGTTGTTCTTCTTGGCTTCGAGGTCCTCTTTATTTATAGGGATAGGAGGTCGATTGCTCTGAACTCTTTTTCTTTTTTCCCTTTGGTAAATATCTCCATATCTGCGATATGGAAATATTTCTTATTCTCCAAAGAATATGGAAATTCTCCTTTACCCTTCCAGTAAATCCGATGTTATCTGACTTCGATGATTATCTTTAGGAGTTTTCTTTTATTCCGAACTACGTCGCCGTGATTCTTTTAATTTTGATGGGCTTAGGTTAATGCTAGAGAAGACATTTTAGGAAATGTGCTCATTTCCCCTCTAACAGTACTATTACTTTAAACATTCTCTTATGTGTCTACGGAGATTTTACATGATAGGTTAGTGAATATTAAGGAGTTTAAATTAGTTTGGTTGTGATTTTGTTGATGAATATGTGTGTTTCAGATATATTAAGGATCTAGTAAGAAGCTTTGTTTCAAATATATTAATAGGTTGTTTTTCTTTGTAGCTGTGAAATCTGTCAAGCTTGAAGACGTGATGATAAAAAAGGAAATGGTGAGTGCTCAAACTGGCTTTGATTGTTTTTGTTTTTGTCCTGGTTGCTGATTGTGGTTTATCTATCTTCATGAACAATTTGTAAAGAAAAAAAATATTTTTTATTTTTAAGAATCTCACAAAATCTCTCCATCGTAAGTCTCACAATTAAGAAAAAGAGAATATAGTTCTAAACTTAAATTTATAATATATTAATTGATAAAATATACTTAAGAACTCTTTAAGAGTCCCTCCAATATTGATGCTCTTATTATCACAACATCTCTTCTGGTAACTATTCTTTGGCTTGGTTTGTAATTAGACTGTCCTTTTAGCATATTCAGTCAAAAAAAAAATAGTACAGTAACTCGATCTTGAAAATATTTTTATTTAGTGCCCCAAAAAATAAAAACATAGACAACGGTCGTCTAAGAAATTGGATAGGATCTATAACATGAGAGAGTCCTTGTAAATAGTTGTAATCATGATCGACGTTCGTACGTCAAGTGGGTTTTTTTTTGTATTAATTCTAATTCTATTGAAAGCAAGATTTAACAAAAGATCTTTCTCTTTACATGCAAAATAAAGAGAATCTTTGCGCAGAGATCTCCAAAAATAGTAGAGCCAAATACGCATGCATAAGACCTAAAAAATGTCGTCTAGTGTTATTATTTGTTTGGTATTATTTATAACGAGAGGTTATTCATTTTGGTCAACAGATGTTTTTAAGAGATTCAAAGGGGACAATGGAGAATTTAAGGAATGTCTTGCCGGAGATGCTAAGGGTATCCTGAGCTTGTATGAAGCTGCTCACATGGGGACGACAACAGATTATATACTAGATGAAGCCTTGAGCTTCACATTGAATTACTTGAAGCCGTTAACTGCAAATGAGACATGCAAACCTAATCTCTCAAGGCGTATACGATATGCTTTGGGCTTACCGCAGCATAAAAACATGGAGATATTAGTCGGAAAAGATTATATCTGTTTCTATGAACAAGAAGAAGATTGCGACAAGACGCTAATAAAGTTTGCCAAGCTTAACTTCAAATTCCTACAACTACTTTACCTTCAAGAACTCAGTATAGTTTCAAAGTATGTAACTATTCTCTTCAATATATTAGTTTACTAATATTTAGTACATCTACCTGACTACCTTTCGGAGCTTGACATAAATCTAATGTTTGGTTGCAAGATGGTATAAGGAACAAGACTTTGAATCTAAGTTTCCACCTTACTACATAGACATACTCGTGGAACTGCATTTCACTATACTCGCTTACATGGAGCCGAAACACTCACGTTTGAGGATTATGCTGACTAAGGTGTACACTATTGAACTAATTCTAGATGATACGTGTGACAGATATGCTTCTCTTCGTGAGGTCGAAAGCCTCGCCAATGCCATTGAAATGTACACTCTCTTTATGTATTATTGAAGTAGCTTGAGTCCTTTGCCCTAAGTCCTCACAAAAGACTCCTGCTATACATATACAAAACATGTCCAAGCCTCCACAATATTATATTTCTAATGTAGGTGGGATATCGATGATCATGCCATGGATGGACTACCAGATTATCTGAAATCTGTGGTTAAATTTGTAACTGGTACATTCCAAGAGTTTGAAAGAGAATTGGGGCCAGAAGTAGGAGGATCTTACAGCTTGGAAGTGACAATCGAATACATGAGATATCAAATTATTCAATAACAAATATTGAATGATTTTTTTTGGAGAAGTTAATTAGTAAATTGTATACAACAACTAATATGTTTTCACTTTTGAGCAGTTCAAAAAATTGATGAAAGTCCACCTTCAACTTGCTAAATAGGTAAGAACATGATTATCAGAGAGGCGAGAGGAGAAGTTTTAAAAGTTTTTTATTATTAAAAAGAATCAATTAATTTTTAAAAAACGATTTTCAAAAAAAAATTAACCAATCAGACATCGCCACATCATAGAAGAGGCGGTCCTGTAGACTCTGCGCAGAGAGACATTCTTGTTTTCCAGTCTCGCCATGTCATTTTTTTTTTCCTTTTTTTTTCTTTTTTGTTTAGAACTCTTCAAAAAATCACTATTAATCATGCTGAAAGAGGGGGTCACTTGCCTAGCTTTGATGAGTACCCAGCCCCGGTCTAACAATATTAAGAGCTCTACGGCAAAAAAAATTTTGGGCCCCTAATGTAAAAGTTTGGAAAATTTTGGGCCCCTAAATGTACAAAGTTTGGAAAATTTTGGGTCCTATTTAATTATTTTTTCAATAAAAAATGTTAAATTTAAATATAAAATATAATCAATTGGGCTTATATATTCGAAAATGAGCTCTTTTAACATTACAATTTTGTAAAATATAGATCGGGCCCCTGGGCGAGCGCACCTCTGCCAACCCCACTTGGGTCGGGCGTGTGAGTACTTAGATGTTGCTGGAGTAGAGGTCGCTATATATGTTACCTTGGCAGGTATTTTGATGTGTATGGATCAGAATATCTGCAAGAAAAAAGCTTACGTAAGCTTTCCAAAATCTCGCTAGAGCAATGACTATAAAAGCACGAGTGGTGAATGATATATTTGGCTATGAGGTATATAAACGAATAATTAATTTTCGATGATATATATCATCTGGTTGCTGTTTTATATAATGATACTTTACATCAGGATGACATGAGTAGAGGATATGTCACGAACTCGATCAACTGTTACAAGAAGCAATACGGAGTTACGGAAGAAGAAGCCTTTAAAAGGCTTCGTCAATTGGTTGCGGACGGATAAGATAATAAATGATGAGTTTTTGAAGCCAATCAATGTGCCACACGAGGTTCTAAAAGTACTCATCGACACTGTACGTGCGGTTAACGTTGCCAACGACAATGAAGATGGTTACCCGTCCCGCTACTCATCTCAAGAACCTTATCACGTCTACGTACGTTGATCTGATTCATATTTGAGGACTTTGGTTAAAACCAATTTACTTGTGATGCGTAGTAAATTGCCCTACAAAACTGTCTCCCGTGCATACTTATCCTTCTAGGAGAACATGTTTTTAGGTGTCTTGACTTGTTCTCCAAGTCAAAGTATTGCTTTGTGTTGCTTTCCTTTCTCTGTTGTTTTTATTGCTTTCGCTAAGTCGTGTCTTAATATTTCCATTGTCGAGAGATTTGAAAACATGTCTTAATGAAGTATGAGAAAATTTGTCAAGTAGGCCAAAACTACCCACAAAATTTGACGATCGTACACATTTTGGCGTAGCGGAAATAACTAATCGGAGGGTGGTTGATTCAAATAATACCTAATATGGATTTGGTTCTTAAGTATTGTTGATTCAAAAAATAACGGATAAACAAAAATTCTAAATTCAATTCACTAATAAAATATCTTTTAAAGTAAAATAGTGATGTCTTTTATATAGAGGCTGCAACATAAGAATTTAACTTATAAATAACGAAAATAAAAGTCTAAGACCATGTGTAATGTAGTATCTTAAGTGAGTTTCTAAACATAAAAAAATATTAAAACTGTGAGAAAGAAAGAGAAAAAGTTAGTTGCAGCTCTTATTTAAGAAACTAAGATACTATTTCTAACAATACTAAGATACTTTAAAAGTATGTGGCATTATATCATTGGTCCAATTATTTTTATATTTAAAATTTAATAATATAATTAAATTATATTAATATAATAAATGTAAGAGTTTTCCCGTTGAATATGGTCTAAACTTAGTCAAATCTAAACAATAAGTAAAATCTTAATATATAATAATTTAATAATTAATATTACGATAGAAGCGTTATCTTCAAGTAAGATAAAAGCAATGTCTAGAAGCGATGTCTAGAAGCGATGTATAGAAGCGACATCTAGAAACGATGTTTGGAAACAATGTCTTCGGGTAGGGATGCACTGCATCAGGTCTTCCCAGGTAGAAGAAGATTCGGTTCAGAATCTGGATTCTCATTATCACCAAGGTACTTAGATAAGTATTTGACATTGAATATGTCAGCTGTTTTGATGTGCGCTGGAAGTTGGAGACGATATGCATTAACGTTAATACATTCCAAAATCTGCACATGACCAATCTTCCTTGATCGGAACTTATTATATTCATGTAATGGCATCTTATCCTTTGTCAAGACGACCCAAACCATCTCACCAGGTTCAAAAATTAGTTCACGTCGATGCTGATCAACCTTGGCTTTGTACTTCACAGCAGCCTACGTTAAGTTTTGGTGCACCATGTGATGAGTCTTGACTAAAGCGTCAACAAACTCAGTCGCTTGACCATGGAAACGCATAACATCCGGGAGTGGAGTTAGGTCGAGAGGACCACGCAGAAACCACTATATACACCACTTCAGAAGGACTAAAGCCGGAAATTTGATTTGTCGTATGATTGTGAGCAAACTACGCTTGGTACAAATATAACTCCCATAAGCGCAGATTATCACCAACAAGACAACGCAACATGTTGCCAAGGGCACGATTAGTAGTCTCTGTCTGACCATCCATTGTGGGTGATATGCCGTGCTCATATCGAGACTAGTACGGAGTAACCTCCACAACAAACACTGGAAGTGACTCAAAAAGCGAGTGTCACGGTCTGACACTATCAACGTAAGAAGGTCATGAAGTCGATAAATCTCAGCAAAGAAGAATTGAGCGACCTTTACTGCATATGTTGTTCGCATACACGGAACAAAGTGAATCATCTTCATAAAACAATCAACCACCACAAAGATCGAATCATTACCTTTCTGTGTATGAGGTAAGCCTAAAATGAAATCCATGCTCAAGTCAATCCAAGGTTGTGTAGGGATGGGCAATGGCAAGTACAGTCCAGCATTTGTCGCATGTCCCTTACCCAATTGACATTCTTGGCACCGCTCGACAAAATGTTCGATATCGTGATGTAGAGATGGCCAATAGTAGGAGGCTGATACAAGTTGCAACATGTGATCACTCCCTACATGACCTTCTTTATACAGTTCTCCAATAATACATAATCACAAACTACAAGCAAGAACGCAAATCTGGACGCTTTTGAAGAGAAAACCATCAACTAACGTAAAGTCACCACGTCGATGAGCCTTAACGTCCATCAATACTTAAGCAAAGAAAAGATCAGACTCGTATAAATCAGAAAATAATGTAAACCCCTCAACCGAAATGTTCAGTGTGACGTCGACTCAAAGTATCAGCGACGTGATTGAGCTTCCCCGACTTATGATGGATTTTGAATGTGAACTTTTGAAGGAATGTGATCCATGTTGTATGTCGTGCAGAGACCTTAGCTTTGTTATCGAGATGTTTCAATGTGTCATGATCCGTAAAGAGGACAAAATCATGATGCACAAGGTAGTGTCACCAATGCTTGATAGCCTGGACAATAGCATAAAACTCAATGTCATATATACTGTAACGACCACGACCACCCGCAAGATTTCACTTTAAGGCAATAGGTCGAGTGTTTTGACTAAGCACAACGCTAATACCAAGCTTGAAGGCAACGCAGTGTATCTCAAATGTCAACGTAAAGTCAAGAAGGATCAAAACAGGTGTCGTTGTGAGCTTGTGTTTGAAGCTCAAACGCTTGATCTGCCTCCGTTGTCCATATGAAATTGGTAGTCTTCATACAATCAGTTAGGGGTGCCATGATCTTCGCTGAAGTGCGACACAAAACACCGCCAGAATGAGGCCAACCCGTGGAAGCTTCTCAACTCAGAGACTGACTTTCGAATTGGCCACGAACGAATCGCTTGTATCTTGTTATCATCCATTGATAAACCATCACGTGAGACGAGATAGCCCAAGAATAAAACAGTATCGACACCAAGTTCAAACTTCTGTCGTGCCACATAAAGCTTTTCGCGACTTAATATATCGAGAACTTGGCAGAGGTGATTGAGATGATCATGTACATACATGATGAAGATCAGGACATCGTCGAAGTAAACCACTACAAATTGTCCAATGTAAGGGCGAAGGGGTTGGTTCATGATCCGCATGAAGGTACTAGGAGCATTGTAAAATCTGAAGGGCATCACTACTATTCGAACAAACCCTCTCGTATTTTTAAACGCTGTCTTCCATTCATCTCCATGTAGAATCAGAATATGGTGGTAGCCACTCCTGAGATCAAGTTTCGAAAAAATCTTTGTCGAACCAATCTGATCCAATAAATCATCCAATCACGGGATTAGAAAATGATATTGAACCGTAATCTTATTAATCGCTTGATTATCGACACATATTCGCCACGAACCATCTTTTTGGGGAATTAAAAGGACGGGAACCTCACATGGACTAATACTCTCCCGGATATGTCCCTTAGCCAACAAATCATCCACTTGACGTTGCAATTCTTCTTGTTCTTGAAGGCTCATACGCTAATGTGGATGGTTTGGTAAGACAGCTCCTGGGATAATATCGATGTGGTGTTGTATCTCTCATAATGTTGGTAGCTCATGTGGTAACTCAGGTGTAAACACATCGGCAAACTCTGTTAATAAGCATGCGATCTCATGATGTACTGAAACAGCTGGTATAGGAGAGACAGGAGCGAACACAAGATCTAGAGCGAACCCGACTTCTTGAAATTCTGTTTCAAAAGCAGCATGTGAGCACAACAGAACCGAAGCACTAGATCATGTGCCTTCAAGCCTATGATGTAAGTCACTCATAACAAGCATTAGTGGTGGTGGTAGTATATCTTGGCCTAGAAGTAGCACAATCCTGCGATTGGCAAAGACAAAGCTGTATTCGTTGCTGTGACCACTATGAAAGACATCATAAATACATTGCCATGATCGTCTCAAGAGGAGATGACATATATCCATCGGTGCCACATTGCAATATATTTTTTCCTTGTAGTGAGTACCAATCAAAAAGGACACAAGTATTCAATGCAGGATACGAATCTTTGTACCCTCTTTCAACCACACTAATTTATAGGCATTCATATTACGACAACTACTAGAGTCAATAACAAAGCTACAAACAATCAATTTATTATACATGTGGAAGAGAAGATATTTTTTATGAAGCCATGGTTGTTCTTCATGACGAGCTAGTGCCAAACAGACACGTCGCATCATCAAAATTTATCTTGTATCTCCCTCATTGCGATCGATCGCCAACTCGTTAACAAACTCCTCATGAAACTTGGTTGCGTCGACGTCCCATACAACATCATCTGCAAGAAGGCCAACGACGTGTGGCGGTAGGACAAGCAGTTTGCCTATGTCCCGGTTTGCCACATGCAAAACATTATAATGCATTAGCTTGCGACGAGCGACATAACTCATCGACGGAAATCAATGGTTTTGGAGGTATTAACATGAATTTAGAGCCCCTTGAACTTTGGTAGTTGTTGTTCCAACCTGAGCAGAGTCAGAATATGTCGGAGTTAAAATAGAGTTCTAACTCGATGTAACCAGCTTGAATTGAAGCTCAAAGGAGATAGCACAATGATGTGCCTCCGCAATGGATGCTAGATCAAACTAGTACATATCGTTCTGAATTTGGGGTTTCTTTCCTCCAGTGAAATGAGGCACCAATTGAACCTCGCCTGTCATGGACATCATTACGCGTCAACGATGGATCGCCCTCTGTGTCGTAAATTTTGCTGGCGAGTGTACATCGTACAATCAAAGTTGAATGGGTGAAAAGTAAACTTGAGATGTTTCTGTAATTTAGCCCACATACTGATTTTCGCTTTTCCGGTGCGAGTCCTTGTCGCTTTGAGTTGCATCCACTATGCTGCAGCGCAACCTTGGAACTTTGTTGCTATCAACGCGACTTGCATGTCTCTCGAAATTTGTTTAAAAATTATCAATTCATCAAAGGTAACCAACCAGTCAAGAAACTCCTCTCCTCTCAATGTGCCATGGAATTCAAGAATATCAAGCTTAAATTCGGACTCCCAACGACGGTCATATGGCTCGCGGTCGCCGTGATGATTACGTTGTTGTTGTTAATTTTGGTAGCGTTGTTGTGGAAATGGGTTAGCATCTCACTCTTCCTCTAATTCGTATCGCAAGGGGTTGCGGGTTTGAATGGTCATTTCTGCGAGGTCTTTGATGGAATCGCGAATAGTCGCTTGGATGTTTTCTTGCATCGCAAAGAGAATGTGGTCTAGCTCTTCCCAATCGTTCTGATCAGTGTTATGTCTCGGCGGCATGATAGAAGTCTGACAAGCGAACGCAAGGAAAAGAAAAGGAAAAAAAATTAGGAACAAAAAGAGTCTCTGATACGAAATTTGCGTAGCGGTATGATAACAAACTGGAGTGTCGTTGATTCAAAGAATCCCCGACATGAATTTGGTTCTTGAGCATCGTTGATTCAAAGAATAACCGATAAACAAGCAAAAATGAACAAAAGTTCTGAATTTAATTTAATAATCAGATACTGTCTTAGGTGAAATAATGATGCCTTTATATATAGGCTACAACGTAGAACCCTAGTTTGTAAATAACAATAATAAAAGCATAAACTTAGGAGGTGTTATTGGTTCTTGTATTTTAATGGATTTGAGAATCCAAACCAAATTCAGTGTTATTAGTTCTTGTATTTTAAAATCTATATTGAAATACATTGTTATTGGTTCTATGATTTTAAAATTCATAATAAAATATAGTGTTATTGGTTCTATCATTTTAAAATCTAAATATTATAAGGATTTAAGTTTTAATTGAATTTGAATGGATTTGGAAGGATTTTCATGACTAAAATACAAAGACCCAAATACAAGGTCTAACCTTGGTATTTGAGTGGATTTGTATTTTTCTATTTTGCTGATTTTGAAATCAATAAATTTTTCAAATCCAAAGAAGATTTATAAATCCACCAAAATACAAGAACCAAAAACCTCTTAGTAGGGGTTATTGGTTCTTGTATTTTGGTGGATTTATAAATCTTCTTTGGATTTGATAAATTTATTGATTTGAAAATCAGCAAAATGGAAAAAAATCAAATCTACTCAAATACCAAGGTTAGACCTTGTATTCGGATCTTTGTATTTTAGTCATGAAAATCCTTTCAAATTCATTCAAATTCAATTAAAACTCAAATCCTAATAATATTTAGATTCTAAAATGATAGAACCAATAACACTGTATTTCATTATGGATTTTAAAATCATAGAACCAATAACACTGTATTTCAATATAAATTTTAAAATACAAGAACTAATAACACTGTATTTCATTATGGATTTTAAAATCATAGAACCAATAACATTGTATTTCAATATAAATTTTAAAATACAAGAACCAATAACACTGAATTTTGGTTTGGATTCTCAAATCCATTAAAATACAAGAACCAATAACACCTCCTTAGTAAATCCAAACAATAAGTATAGGTTTAATGTATAATTTATCAATAAGTAATGTTACGATAGTAGCGATGTCTTCGGGTAAGATAAAAACAATGTATAAAAGTGACATTTAAAAGCGAAATCTAGAAAAAATGTCTTCAGGTAAAGATGCGCTGCATCACATTTTTTATAAATAAAATCAATGTCTTGAGACATCAAAGATTAAACAAAAACAAAAACAAAAACCATGACTGAAGTATCTGAGATCACAATGGATTCTCTAAAGTTTCATTTCAACTCCTTAGGCCTAATGATGGGAAACTCCAAAACAACATCTTTGCCGGCCAGATTCTTGTAAACCGCAAAGAAAGCCTCAAGCTTGTACTCTGTGTTGTTCTTTTCCTTTGGATCCAAGAACACCTTCAAAAACACATTTCATTCCGTTTATTTAGATTAACAGAAAGTAAAATCAAGAAATTCATTGTCTTTCTCACAGTCTTGCACTCTAAACAAGAAATTCAACCCTAGATGAAATTTGGAGAAGAGTAAATTATTTGTTTACCAATTTAAAGATTTATAGTACAAGATAGCCAACCTTCAACTAGTCAATGTGCCTAGTTTTGAAGAGTATATAGATGTTGCTTGAGCCGAGATCGCTGTGTTTCTTACCTTGGAAGGTACTTTGATGGCTACAGAGAATATCTCCAAGAAAAAAGCTTATGACTGGCTGAGATCTAGAGATGAGCTCGCTAGATTAGTCTGTGTACAAAAGCATGACCGTTGAGTGATATGTTTGGATTTCAGGTACGTATACATTTCCTAGTTTTTTGAAAATCCGTAAATCACAACCTTGTTGTTTGGTAATCATAACTTGACACTTGAAATGATGAATAGGATGACATGAGCAGAGGATGTGTGACAACTCGATCAACTGTTATAAGAAGCAATACAGAGTTACCAAAGAAGAAACCTTTAGAAAACTTCATCAAATGGTTGCAAGCGTTGATGAGATGATGAATGAGGAGTTCTAGAAGGCAAACGACTGTATATTCTTTAATGGTTCCCTGTAGAAGTTGTATTATTATTCAGAACAGAGACTGAGTTATATACACAACTATGATATCACATTACAGTTAATTACAATATATGATTTATATAAATTGATCCATGATTGACAAAAGTGAATGATCTCACCACTGATATGATTAGTATCTTAATACAGGCCCTCAAGATGGAGGCGACATGGAGACACCAATCTTGGATGTAAACCCATTGAATGTTATTCGAGACAACAGTTTTGTTAATGCATCAGCCAGTTGATCTTTTGTTAAAACATGAACCACACAAAAGCTGCCTGATTGAACTTGATTTTGTATATAATGATAGTCCAACGTAACATGTTTCATTCTTAAGTGGAAGACCAGATTTGCACATAAGTATGTAGAACCCATATTGTCACAGTATATTACTGGTGTAGTGGATAGCTTGATTCCAAGTTCATCTAGCAAAGAGCAGATCTAGTTAAGTTCAGAAGATGTATTTGCTACTGACCTGTATTCAGCTTTTGTGGAGGAACACGCAACACCTTTTTGTTTCTTAGAAGACCACAAGATTGGGTGTTCGAGATAGACAATGTATGCATTGGTTGACACAAAATCATCAGAATCCCCAGCCCCATCTGCATTTGAGTAGGCATGGAGGGTGAAGGGATTTTCCATTATGTGGAAGATCACATGATCAGACATTTCGGCTAAGTAGCATAATACTCTCTTGGCAGCATGCCAGTGATCACTCGTTAGTTTATGCATAAATTGGGACAGGCGATTGATAGCGTAGCGGATATCAAGACGTGTAAATGCTAGATACTGAAGGCTTCAAATGACACTCATATACTATATGGGATCGGAGAGTGGTGTACCAGAGTACAGAGATAGCTTGGGCGATATTGCTATTGGTGTACTGACAGGTTTTGCTGTTTGCATATTTTTCCAAGTGAAGAGATCTAGAATGTACATCCGTTGACACAAGTGCAATCCCGAGGAAACCCATTTTGCTTCAATACCCAAGAAATAAGATAGTTCTCACGTGATCTTTTACTGAAAACCGAGTTGCCAGAGCATCAAATGTTTGTTGAAGCAGGAAATTGTCGTTTCCAGTAACCAGAATGTCATCAACATAAATGAGAAGATAAACAATCGATAATCCTTTCTTCAAGATAAAGAGAGAAGTATCTGCAACAGAATTTGTGAAACCAGCAGCAAGAAGATATTTTTTAGTTCCATGTACCAGGCTCGGAGAGCTTGCTTTAAGCCATAGTTCGCCTTATGTAAACGACATATATGATATGGTCTATTGGCATCAATGAATCCTGGGGGCTGAGTCATATATACTTCTTCTGTTAGCGTTTCCTGAAGAAACGCATTGTTAATGTCCAGTTGACGGATTGGCCAGGCGTGAACAACAGAAACAAAAAAAGACTAATCTGATAGTGGTGGTCTTGATTACCAGACTGGAGATCTCAGAATAGTCAAGCTCCTGTTGTTGATTGTATCCCTTTGCAACAAGACGAGCTTTGATTCAGCTGACTATACCATATGGATTATACTTCGTGGTGAAGACCCAGCGACAACCTACTATGTTAATCGGCTTATTGGGGTGTGGGACAACATCCCATGAGTGATTTTGAAGCTGGGCATTGATCTCGGCATGAGCGGCCTTGTTCCATCTGTCATCTTGGAGAGCTTGTCGGATCGTTTATGGTTCAATTTGATTTTTGGAGGCAGGGGCGTCAATTTGCACTTACTTTTTGTTGGGTTTGGCAATGCCATCTCATGCACGGGTTGACATGGAATGGGGATTTGAAGGTTTTGTTTTTTGTTTCTGGTTTGTCGGGAAATTATGGATGAAGATGACGGCCGAGTATTTGGGGAACTGGTGGTAAGTGTTTGTGTTTTTTGTTGGGCTTAGAAAGTTTAATTTGGGCATGTGGTTATTTGTGGTTGATTTGGGGGCTGAGGTTGTTCTGTTTGGGCTTGAGAAGTTGTGGTATTATTTTGAGTGGGTGGCTAGGCCGTGGGTTACGGCCTATTTTTTGTGGAGCAGTGGGCTCAGATTCAGGAGAAGGAGAAGAAAAGATATAGTTTGATGGTAATACCTGAGATGTCGTTGCTTTGACCGGCGGTTGACTGCTGTGAGACGGTAACAGTTGGCGAAGGTTTGAGCATAGGGGAGCTTGCTGAGGGAGTGTTGTGACAGAAATCATCGATGGAGTCCGTGGAGATATTTCTACTTCTGCGAGACCGATCTTCAAGCTTATGGCGAGAGTATGGTGAAGCCATGGAAAGCACGCACAGCCAAAAATACGCAGCTTATTTGATGAGGACATATAAAAAACTTTGTTCTTTTTTATTTAAAGAGTGTTCTTTGTTTAAACAACTTGTCTTTAGATTCAATTGAGTGATTCTTTTATTTCTACTGATTTTTGGAATAGATTTGTTTATGTGATTCAGGCAAGGCTAGTTCCAACGGCTGAGTGAGTCAGCCATCCCACCGACTGAGCAAGTCAGTCAACCCATCGATTGAGTGAGTCAATCAACCCCAGTTCCACCTCCATTCCAACTTCATCCCATATTCCGCACCATAAGCTTGGAATACTCTTTATCATCTTGTGATCACAAGTTGGAGTGATTCCAATCTTATATCATTATTGTAATTCGGCGATATCCCAAACAGTTATTGAAAGGAGGACCGAAGAGAGAATACTGGCGTTGGTAATCGATTGATAAGGTACACCGCGACAGAGAATGCAAATGCCCAATACATTTTTGAAATTGAGGCGTGAGAGAGAAGAGCGAGCCTGTTTATACAATATGGGTATGGCGATGCTTTCATTCTGACATGCCATTATGTTCAGGAGTGTGAGGAGGAGATTTGAGATGAGATGTTCCATGTGTTGCTAGGAAGGTACACAAAGCAACAAATTCTCCCCTATTGTCTGTGTAGAGGTTGCAGATCTGGGTCTGAAAACGGTTTTCAACAATTGCTTTGAAGGCCATAAAGGTATCTTTAACATGAGATTTTTGTTTTAAAGGACATAGCTAGGTATAGCGTTTATAATGATCGACAAGAACAAGATAATAGTATTTGAAGTTGTCGTTAGATAGGATGGGGGAACTCCAGACATATGAGAAAACGTATTCAAGAGGTCTAGTAGAAACAAGAGTTGATTGAAAAAATGGAAGTTTATGGCTTCTATTGATTGAGTAATCAGAACAAGATATATGTTTTGGGATGATGTAGATATAGGGAGAGAAAAAGCAAAAGCAACACTCTCCAAAATAGAGATAGATGGATGGTCTAAGCGCATATGCCATGTAGTAATGGTAGTTTTCGGAGGTGGAGAGACAGCCATAGCTACAGGTTGATTATCTGTCACAGACCACTCATACAACTCATTTTTAGTTTGTCCTTGGAGTAACGGAACCTCTGTGCTGAGAACTTTCACCTGAAAGGAAGCACAAAAGAATTCTACAGAAACACAATTAGAATTGCAAAGTCTATAGGCAGAGATCAGGTTTTTGTGAATTTTTGAAAATACAACAAAATTTGTGTAATCCGAGTACATGAGTTGAGAAAGGAAGAGATGTCAAACCTGTATGTGTAATTTGTAGACCGGATCCATCAGCGATCATCACATCATCATCACCATTGTATGATTGATGGAGCGAGAGATTGTTGAAATCAGATGTTCTATGATGGGTTCACTATCAATGATTTAGTTATTAGCAAAATAAAGAAAGTGAACCACCATGTTCACGCATAACTATTTAGGTGTAAATGGTGTAGGTTTTTGTTGTGACATGAATTAAAAAGATTAGAGTTGAGAACATCATTTGATATGTTGTGGTCGTGAACACCACAGATTTGGCAATGATCAAAATATGGATTTGATGGAGATAAACTAGAGATTGCAATGGTGATAATGTGTAGAAAAGAAGAAGAGAAAAAAAAAGAGGTAAAAATCGATTTAGACCCTAATACTATATAGAATATAAAAATTGTATTATTATTTAGAATAGAAACTGAGTTATATACACAGCTGAGATTATATTACAGTTAATATAAATTGACCCATGATTGATGGACGTGAAGGATCTATATGATTAGATCCTTAATATCCTGTCGGTCGGGAAAAAACACGATTTCAATCATTCAGTGATTAGTGTATTTGCACCGTGACAATAAAAAAATGTGTCATATCTAAGAAAATGAGCTTATCTTTGCTTAAGAAAATGTGGTCTTAACTTTTTTTTTTTTTTTGAACTTTATGTGGTCTTAACTTTCACAAGGGATCCACTGAAAAAACATTTTCCGCACTGTCATAATAAAAAATATATATCATATTTAAGAAAAAGTAACCTGAATCATGGATGATCCGCCATTTGCACTTGTGTTTTTAGAAACAAAAATATTTATGAAGCATTTTTCCTTATAATTTGGATTGGTGGCCATCAAGAGAAACAATATTAAGTGCAAATAAATAAATAAATGAAATGAATAAGCAGGAAATGAAAAGAGAACTTGAGTTATGAATATGAAAAATTATTGGAAAAGAGATAAACAAGTTTCAATTTTTGTTCTTATTTGTTTCCCTTTAATATATATAAGGAATAAATTTGTTCTGTAACTGTTTCAGAATAATGAAAAGGAAAAAACATTTCTGAATAAATTCCTTCTAAATGGTGTAATTTTGATAAATATTTATATTACTTTATATTTTTCTCTCTAGATAGTTTACCAAATGAACAAAAATAATTTTCTAAGTATTTCATTTGAAGATTATTTTATCTATTTTAAATGAATTTTTGTTTTTAGGATTAGATTTTTTCACGTGGACATCAAATTTATCATATAAAATTTTAGACAACAAATCGTAAATTATGTTGTCCACATGTACATATCTACGGTTGATTAAACATTTCATTATATGTTTCATTGGATTCGTTGAGTATGGCTAGATCTGGTTGAGTATGGACATATTTCCAAACTTCTTTTTGGTTACTCTTGTGACGAAAAACGAATACTTATTTTTGTCAAGTGGCAATCGTACAGTGTTTCCCGCATGCAATAAAAATAAATTAAAATCGGCTTTAACAAAAAAAACATTGTGCCTATAAATTTGGTGGAGAGACCTCGATTCATATCATCAGTGGTGAATATAGAAGCCATATCAGTTTTTGGACCAAAACTTGGATCTAAACTCTCTATTCGTTCTCAGACCAATTCACTTCCGGCATGCAAACTCTCTCGATCTTCAGTGATGTCATTTCCCAGGAAGCCTACACAGCTTGTTCCTTTGAAAGCCACTAATAATACTCTGGCTTGTGATGATGAAAAAAACAATCGTCAATTCACGAAGTTGGCACCTTCTGAATGGAGTCATAATTCGTCTATGCTCATGTTGATCTCTCTCTCTCTCTCTCTCTCTCTCTCTCTCTCTCTCTCTCTCTCTCTCTCTCTCTCAGTAAGTTCTCTCTCTCTCTCACGTTTACATACCTTATTTTTCAAGGAAATTGATTTGCTTGGAAGAGAAATCGAAGAACTAAAGCCACAAGTGAGTGGCATGTTTATGTCTTCCAAAGGCATTGACTCGACCAAGAAGAAAATCCTTTTTTTTATATCTGCTTGTGAGCCTGACATTTTAATAGTTTAAATTGGAGTATTAGTTCTAATTTGTTGTAAATGTAGTTAAATGTTAAGATTGAGAAAAAATGAAAGATATTGATCTAAATTGTGATAATGTGACAGATAATCATTGAATCATGTTTGTAACTAAGTAAGATTAAATTAAACACTAATTTAAATTAGTTTTTAAACTCTAAACTCGTCGGAAATCCGTCGGAAATTTCTCACCAATTTCCAACGGGTTGTTTTTCTAACGGATTTTTGACAGAAATCTGAAACCTATCAGAAATTCGTCGGAAATTTCTGATGGATTTCCGACAAATTATTTTCTGACGGATTTTTGACGGAAATAAAAATTTATCGGAAATTCGTCGAAAATCTATCATAAATTTTTCAACGAATTTTGACCCGTCGGAAAGACCGTCAGAATTTGCTATGTTTTCGTGTAGTGAATTCGTCTATGCTCATCTCTCTCTCTCGTTTACATACCTTATTTTTCAAGGAAATTGATTTGCTTGGAAGAGAAATCGAAGAACTAAAGCCACAAGTGAGTGGCATGTTTATGTCTTCCAAAGGCATTGACTCGACCAAGAAGAAAATCCTTTTTATATATCTGCTTGTGAGCCTTGGTCTCGCGTATCACTTTGAGGATGAGATCGAGGAGAGTCTAAAAGATGGTTTCACAAATATGGAAGAGATGATGACTGGTGAAGATGATTTGTACACAGTTTCCGTCATCTTCTGGGTTTTCAGGACATATGGTCACAACATTTCTTCTGGTAAGGATTCTCTCGCTAGGGGTTTTTCAAATATTTTGGTAAAAAGTTAATTGTTTACAAACAAGCTTTTCTCTTCGGAAAACAAAATGAAGATATATTTTCAGCATAAGATCAACAAATTAAAATGTGGTCTAACTCGACAAAAACTGGTACACTTGTTTGTTATTATTTGATTCTTATCTATACTATAAAAGATGGCTAACTCTCTCCGTATGAGTGTCACCTCATCATTTTGGTTTAAAATTAATGATACAAATTATATAAAATATAGTTAATGCATAAATTTAATAGATTATTAATCATGATACCAAAATAATATGAAAATATAAAGTATTAGATAATATATTTTAATAACAATATATACTTAATATCCAAAAATAATTATTAAATATCTATTTTATGGTAGTTTTTAAAAATCATTAAAAACTTTTATGTTTCTTATTTTAAGAGTCTTTTCTTATTTCTAACTAATATCATAAGTTATTATTATCAAAACAATTATACAAATATAAAAATAAAAATTATTTGATATTTTGAACCTAAAAAAGTTAGACGAAAAATGTATACAGTATTATAATAAACTTTAAAATAATTTCTTTATAAACTAATAAATATTTGATAATTTATTTTATTCAAACTTGATCCATTAATAATTTTTATTAATAAGATATCAAAGTCCTAATATATTTATTTATAAAAATTTTAATGTAATTATATATCAATTATTTAAGTTCATAAAAATATAAAACAACGGCGTTGCTATTGTGTAAATCTGCGCCGTGAACAAATACTATCTGTTAAAAAGAGTCGTCTCTACCTATGTTGTGCTTGAAGAGTTTCTCTAATTAATTTTTGTTATATAGTACTTCTATGATTTGCAGTATATCCATTTAATATATTCTATATATACAACATATAACATATTTCACATTTTCTTATCAATAAACCATTTATCACATATATAGTTAATATCCACATAATATGTAATTATATACTGTATGTTTATTCAAATACACAACATCCTTAAGAAAAATTTAAATATACGATAAAATAAATTATAACTACACCTTTTAACAAATTATATTGTGAAAAAAGATCCGCACATCGCGCGGGTACTCATCTAGTGTATAACAAAAGGTTATTCGGTTTGGTCAACAGATGTTTTTAGGAGATTCAAAGGGGACAATGGTGAATTCAAGGAATGTCTAACCGGAGATGCTAAAGGTATCCTGAGCTTGTATGAAGCTGCTCACATGGGGACGACAACAGATTATATATTGGACGAAGCCCTGAGCTTCGCATCGAGTCACTTGGAGTCATTAGCTGCAAATGAGACATGCAAACCTACTCTCTTAAGGCGTATACGAAATTCTCTGGATCAACCGCAGCACATGAACATGGAAATAATAGTCGCAAAGGAATATATCCGATTCTATGAACAAGAAGAATATTGTGACAAGACGCTACTCAAGTCTGCCAAACTTAATTTCAAATTCCTACAGCTACATTACCTTCAAGAACTCAAAACACTCTCAGAGTATGTAACTAATTTCCTCTATAATTACTGGTATTTAAATATATATCCCTTTTGGAGCTTGACATAATTAATCCTAATGTTTGGATGCAGGATGGTACAAGGATCAAGACTTTGAATCAAAGTTGCCACCTTATTACAGAGACAGACTCGTTGAAAATCACCTCGTTTCGCTAACATACTTCGAGCCAAAATACTCACGGGATTTTGTTGATCAAATTGTATGTTATTGAAATAGTTCTAGATGACACATGTGACAGATATGCTTCTCTGGGGGAGGTCCAAAGCCTTGCCAATACATTCGAAAGGTAAACTATATCTACTATACAATAGTTGAAGGAGAGTTCTGCAGCAGATTAACATATTTAAACCAAACTTTTTAACATATTTACACAATTAATAATAATTTAAAACCATTTAATTTGATTTTAACTATTTAAATTGTTCTTAATTATATTAAATTTGTAAAGCATCATAAACATATAGATATTATACTATATTACAAGATTTAAATACATATCAATTTCATATTTTATGTGATTTAATAACCATCTCCAAACTTATTTTGATGGCCATGGAAGATATCTGCAAGGAAGAAGCTTATGAGTGGTTGAAATCTAGAGACAAACTCGTGAGATCATTATCTATAGTAGCACGAGTGAGAGATGATATGCATGGCTTTGAGGTATAAGAAAAGTTATAAATTTTCAATAATTCATAATATATCTGTTGTTATTTTTGATATAACAAAAGTTGCACGTGTGACAATGATTAGGATGACATGAACAGAGGATATGTTACGAACTCGATCAGCTGTTATAAGAAGCAACATGGAGTTAGTGAAGAGGAAGCCTTTATAAAGCTTCGTCAAATGGTAGCAAATGTGTATAAGATCGTGAACGAGGAGTTCTTGAAGAAGATCGATGTGCCAAACCAGGTTCTCAAAGCAGTCATCAACTGTGCACGTATGATAAATGTTAGCTACGAAATAGATGACGAATTTACCCGTCCTGGTGTAAAACTCACGAGCCATATCACTGCTATTTACGTTGATCTTTGAGGACTATATGGTATATCCATTTAAAGTACTTGTGTTTTTGAATAAATTTGTTAGGGCTTTGTTGTGAGATAGGCTTTACCGGTGTTCAAGCCCTATCTACAAGCCGTATAGTTGCTGTCTTTTATTGGATCCTCTCTGGCTCTCTAAGCGTGTTTTTTGGGGATTATCTAAAGCTTTCTTGTTACTTCGCCTTTGAGCAGTTTCTGAAGTTTAATAAAATGAGTTTTGTTTCATTTTCCCTCGATGAATTTCATCTCACGAGGAGCAGGTCTCTAAGGATTCAGTGCTTAGTAGAGTTCATTTATAAAGCTTAGTTTAAGATCGGTGTGTACCTTGGCAGGTATTGATGGCTATGGAAGATAGCTCATGAGTGGTTTAAATCTAGATGGACAAATTCGTGAGATCATTATGTACATAGGGGCAGAGCCAGTAAGGTGGGAGGGGGACCCACTTAATTAAAAAAATTATCTAATTTTATGATTTTATTAATTTTTTTTAATTGACCCCATAGATAAAAAGAGAAAACATTGAAGACAAAAATCAACATATATATAACTAGGAGAAGGTTCCTCGCGTTGCGCAGATTTATAATATTTTAATGATTTTAATTTTATAATATATTTTATTATATTTGTTAGTAAAAATTTATTAATAAATGTTAGTTTTTAGGTTGTGAATACCATGTAATTTGTTAAAATTTTGTATTAAAAGGTTTGTGAAATAATAATATTTATATAGAATAAGGTTTGACTCTGTTAGGAAAGTGTAGCTGCCACCATTCTTTGAAAGCATGCAAGGGTGATCGGAAATGAAATTTGGAGAGTATAATCCAGATTGTGATAGTAGTGGCGGTTTGAGGTTCGATGTGGTGTGGAAGGAAAGAGTGAACTATTGATCTAAAATGATTTCATGAAAGCAAATAATTAATTATTTCATGAAAGCAAATAAAGAACATAAAAAGTAATGAAACGATTTTTTGTACATAAGTAATGCTACAATCAGCTTTTAAAAGTTAAAAAATATATTCTAAAATAATGTTAAGTAGGAGACATAATGAAGGAGAACCGAGTGGAGAAGAGAGAAAAACCACAGCGTTATTTTTGTGTTTGTTCGAATAAAAAAATCTATGAGAGATAGAAAAATAAAATAAAAAATTAGACACATGACCTTACTTTATCATAGAAAATTTATACTTTGTTAGTTGATTTGATTTTTATTTTTTTTTTGTTGGATGAGGAGAGAAAAAAAATTGAAGCTTTGTTTTTATATTTGTTCGATAAAAGATAAACCAGTAAAAATATGAAAGAATAAAGTGACAATGTCAATTTATAAGATGATATGCTGCCTATCAGAGATGTTTCAAAAAAAAAAACCTTACTATATAATGCATTATTTTCTGCTAGATTAGTCACAAAGAAAACTTAAAAAATAAAATTATATTTTTTACAGAAGTATGCCACAATCAGCTTTTAAAGAAAAATAAGCTTTAAAAATAATATGAAGTAGGAGACACAATAAAAGGGTATCGGGTTGAGAAATAAGAAAAAAAAAATTGAAGTTTTGTTTTTATGTTTATTTGATTAAATAAATCAAGCACATATAGGAGAAAAAAAAATTTGACACATGACTTCACTCTATCATATAAGATTTGAATTTTGTTAGGTGATATGATTTTTTTTTTGTTGGATGAAATAGAATGGTGTGGAGAAGAAAAAAAAACAGAAGTTTTATTTCTGTGTTTGTTTGATAAAAAAAATTTAGTAGAGATATGAAAAAAAAGCGTGGAGAGGAAGTAAAAAAAACTGAAGTTTTATTTATATGTTTGTTTGATATAACGAATTCAGTAGAAATATGAAAAAAAAAAACAAAAAAGAAAGAAAAGGGTCATATATCAATTTATAAGATGACATGTGGCAGCATATCAGAATTGGTTCTTAAAAAAAACTTTATTTAAAACAAAACAAATTTGACGCATGACCTTATTATATAATATAAAATTTGAATTTTGTTAGGTGATTTGATTTTTTTGTAGATGAAATAGAATCGTGCGGAGAAGAAGAAAAAAAACTGAAGTTTTATTTCTGTGTTTGTTTGATAAAAAGAATTCAGTAAAAATATGAAAAAATAGCGTGGAGAAAAAGAAAAAAAACTAAAGTTTTATTTCTGTGTTTGTTTGATTAAAAGAATTTAGTAGAAATATATAAAAGAAAATAATGTGGAGAAAAAGAAAAAAAAACTGAAGTTTTATCTCTGTATTTGTTTGATAAAAATAATTCAGTAAAAATATGAAAAAAAGTGCCACATGTCAATTTATAAGATGACATGTGACGGCATATCAGAACTGGTTCTAAAAAAACCTTACTTTACTAGAGTTGGTTCTTAAAAAAAACTTTATTTAAAAAAAAAAAATTGGCGCATCTTACAAAATTATATAAAATTTGAATTTTGTTAGGTGATTTGATTTTCTTTTTGTTAGATGAAATATAATTGTGTGGAGAAGAAGAAAAAAAAACTGAAGTTTTATTTCTGTGTTTGTTTTAATAAAAGAATTCAGTAAAAATATGAAAATAGCGTTGAGAAAAAGAAAAAAAAACTGAAGTTTTATTTCTGTGTTTGTTTGATTAAAAGAATTTAGTAGAAATATATAAAAGAAAACCGTATGGAGAAGAAGAAAAAAACTGAAGTTTTATCTCTGTGTTTGTCTGATAAAAAGAATTCAGTAAAAATATGAAAAAAAAAAATGCCACATGTCAATTTATAAGATGACATGCGGCGGCATATCAGAACGGTTCTAAAAAAACATTTACTTTTTTAGAGTTGATAGATAGATAGATAAATTAGACAGTTTTCTCTCCATCTAGAGTGTCCACCTCAACAATTTTTTATTTTTAAAATGGGCTTCTAAATATTTCTATCTTTTGTTTATAGGTTTTTATATATTTTTGGATATTCATTTTATGGGCCTTTAAATATATAGCTTTTATGTACTTTTATTTTGTATGTAAATACTTTACAAACCATAAAATTTAAATTATTTAATTTTTATTTTTAATGAGCTTTTACATATACATATTTTTGGATATTCATATGACATAATTTAAAATTAAAAAACAAACACTTATTTTTCAAGCCACAAAAAATGTAAAGTATCTAAAAATTTAGAATACTATTTCAAATATGAAATAAAGAGTGTTGACAAAAAAATAAAACAAAGAGTGTGTGTGGGATTGATAGTTAATTTATTTTGTTGATCTCTTTAAAACTAAGCAACATATAAAAAAATTAATAAAGATATAAAGTGAAAAGATATAGATACATATGATAACATTTAAATATAAAAATGAGTTTTTTATAACAATTAGCATATCATAATTTATATTTTTAAAAAATAACTTTACAATAGCTCTATATATCTTTAGGTTAATTAAAAACCCAAAACAACATTTAAAATCCAAAAGGAACAAAATAAATATTAAATAGATAAACATAATAATAATATAAAAATATAATTTCGAATAAGAAATAAAGAAAGTTGGTGGGACCATGGTGAATATCTTATGTTGATCTCGCTTAAACTAAGTGACTTAAAAGAAAAAAACTAATTGAATAAAGATATTCAGTTATAAAAGATAGATATATATATATATATGATAACGTATAAGTATAAAAATGAGTTTTTAATAATTATCATATTACAATTTCTATTGAAAAAACAACTTTACAATAGATCTACATAATTTAGGATAATAAAAAAAACCTAAGAAAATATTTAATATTTAAAAAGAACAAAAAGTTATTCTAAAAAGTAAACATAATAGTAATATAAATATATAAATTTATAAATTTAAAAATTGTATAAACAAATAACTTTGCAAATTCCTATCAAAATACAAATTCAGAATATTATTTCAAATAAGAATTAACTTTGCTGATTTCACTAAAAATATATTTAAAAATAAAAGAAAAGAAAACTAAATAAAGATATTCAATGAAAAAATAGAAATATTTATAACATCGTATAAGTCTAAAAAAATATTTTTTATCAATTAACATATTACAAATATTATTAGTATTTTTTTACAATAATCTCACATATTTTAAGATAATGAAAAAACAAAGTTAACATTTTTAATTTCAAGAAAAAAAAGAAAAGAAACTATTAAACAATACATAATAAAGAAATAAATAAACATATTAATAATATATTTATATAAAATTAAAAATTTGATTTATGCTCCGCACGTTTAGTCTCTAGTATAATTAAATTAGATAACTAATTTTATTTTGGTTTTGGGCTTAATTAATTTAATCTCACTTCACAAAAATATTTTATCATTTTATGAGTTTTATCTAATTATTAGCTGATAAAACATTAAACAAAAAAAAAATAATAACTCAACAAATCTTTCTCTTTCGTCATTATAGTTTTTTTGCATGTGATTTTTTTACTGTTCCAAATAATTAAAACAAGTAAAACATCTCACTTAATCACTTGTTCGAGTTAAATTTCTTTATATCTTTTTAATTTGCTTGAATCTCTTTAGATTATGATTTTTATTAATTTGATACTACGTGATATGATCTAAAATCATAAAAATTAAAGTTTCTGTTTATAATATATGAGTTCGAATATATTTACTTTTTAGTTTGTTATTTTCATAAAATAACTAATCAATAAAAGATTTTTTTTTATCAATAAATGATACAAAATTGTATTGGTTATTAGTTTTTAAGTGACTGTCTAATTTATTTTTCTGATATTTTTTTATTAGATAGTTTCTATATTTGTAACCATTTTTAGTAATTTATAATCGATGTTAAAAAAAAAATTGCCCCCTGTAAAAAAAATTTGTAACCATTCTCTGCAGATGAATAAGTTCTACAGTTTGTCTATGAATTAAAACTTTATATGAGACTGTTTTCATATTCCACATCATCAAAGACGTTCAGTCATCCCTAATTTATGTTCATGATAAAACGGCCTCCAAGAACGACCATATTCAATAAGATCATCTGATTCTTGTCACTTATCTGAGAAATCTAATATTCAACTATTATAGTTTTTGCTCGTGTTTAATTTGCATAATAGAAACATGAACCCATTTCGTAGTGATCCAATCAAATTTTGATTTCCTCTTGATAATTACTTTTAAGAGAATGATAACCTATTTAAAACTGATTCGGACCGTTAGGAACCCCGACTCAATCATGAATCCTTCAAGATTCAACTATTGTTTTTTTTTTTTGAAAAAAAGATTCAACTATTGGTTTTCATGGTTATTTTTTGCATTGTGACAATAGAAAATGTCAAAAATTTGAGAAAAAAGATAAGAAAATGTGACATCGATCATCATTTTAAAAAGAGTATTGTCACTGTCGTAAAACAAAGTCGTTTTTTAAGAAAATGATGAAAACATTTCTTTTTATTTCTTTAATTGAACCATAGAATATACGTTTCTAAACGATACTCAAGATTGCAAGAACTAGAACATCATCGATTTTGTAGTTGTAATACTAATATTACATTTTGTAACACTTTCGAGCCATTGTAGTGCAAGATAACAGCTTCAACAAGCCAAATGGTGGTCAATCAAAATACTTTGACCATGTCCTAGTTTTCTTTTTCCCAATTTTGCAAAATAATCAGTCTCCGGGAAAACATGTCTTAATGAAGTATGAGAAAAATTTGACAAGTAGACTCAAAACTACCCACAAAATTTGACGATCGTACTCATTTTTTCATAAGCAAAAGCAATGTCTTAACACATCAAAAGTAAACCACAAAAACCAAAGACAAAAACCATGACTTAAGGTATCTGAGATCACAATAGATTCTCTAAAGTTTCAAATCATACTCTTAGCTTAGGCCTCAGTGATGGGAAACTCAAAGACGACATCTCTGCCGGTCAGCTTCTTGTAAACCGCAGAGAAAGCCTCAAGCTTGTACTCTGTGTTGTTCTTTTCCTTTGGGTCCAAGAACACCTTCAACAACACATTCCATTCCGTTTATTAGATTAACAGAAAGTTAAACAACGATAGTCTTGAAACAGGGAAGATGAATTATGATCTTTGGATTTTTACTAACCTTCATGATTTTGGTCCCGTCGATTCTGTACCTGATGCGCTTCCCAACAATCTCTGCAGGCAAGACCACATCATCAAGTATCGCTTCGTGGACTGACGTCAGAGTACGGTTGCGTGGTCTCTTTGCAGCTGAGCCCTTCTTTGGTGGCCTCACAATCCTCCTTGTCGCAATGAGGATCACATCCTAAGCATAGGGAAGACAGAAAGAAGATAACAACATCAAGAAACTATAGTGATCAATCAGCTAAACTCACTATAAACAGAGATTCCATAACAAAGAAAATATAGAGTTGCATCTACCAAAGCCAATCAGCAAAACACTAATCGACAAAAGAAAAGGAAGAATAAGAGTCACCTTTCCGCTGAACTTCTTCTCAAGTTCACGAACGAGCCTGACATGGATCTTGCGGAAAGCGCTTCTCAGTCTGTAAGGAACATTGATAACAACTGCCTTGCGTCCTCCAGAGATATCAACTTGACTACAAAAGAGAGAAAAAGAGATTGAGTTTCAGTTGTTTGGTTAATACTTCCTAGAGAAAAAGCCAACCAATAATGAAGACAAAAGAACGAAGAATCCACTCACACAGCCGAGTTCACGTATAGATCCTTCAACTCACTTTTCAACTCTGTGTTGGTGTTCTCCAAATCAAAGAAAGCCTAAGAAAGTACACAGAGAGGTAAAACAAAAACATCAGAAACTCTCACCATTTCTAAGTGAAACGTCGACAGAATAGTATAAAAGATCAAACCTGAGCGACTTGTTCATCCAACTCAGAGAGTTCAACTCCCTTCTCCTTGTGAATCTTGTGCTGTGCAGAAAACATCTTTTCACTCAAATGCAAACTCCGAAAAGAGCTCTGAGAAACAAAACAGACCAAAACCAAAAAAAAAGCATTTCAATATTCAACCAAAAAACGCATCTTTAAGTCTCAACACAGAGCAAAAAGGTTATTGTAGCATCTATCACGAACAAGTTTACACTGTGAAGCAAGAGTTCACTTTCAAATCTAAAAACACCACTAACACCATAACCAGAGAAGATCGATATAGAGCTCTGCAAGCTAGAGGTGCAAAAATACTAAATTCATCGTATATTCTTCTACATCACCGATCAATCAAAAATTAAAATAATAAATTTTCGGCGAAATAGAACAAGTCGAGAACAAACAAACAAACCCGTCGAGTATAATACTAGGTTTTCCGGGAAACGAAGATCCAATAGAAACGAATAGAAGATGAGATTCGAGATGAGCAAAATATTTCGTCGGCGCTAAACGTACCTCTGAGGCAGAAGCCAATGGATACTGCAAGCTAATCCGCTAAAGAAAAACCCTAGAGCTCGGGGGTAGGATAAAGAGAGTTTATAAAGGATAATCGAACGGTCATGAATACCAAAGTGATCGTGGACGGATAAGATTGTAAGTTAGCGAAAGCCGCTTGATTAGATCTGAGCCGTAAAATTCAGCTGACGTGTCCTCATACTAATAGAGCCACGTATTGCTGACGTGTTGCTGGTCGTATCTTATCATTTCCTCGAATAGACAAACAACCGATTCGGAGATCCTTGCCGTCTCACTTTCTCCGCTTCTATTGTGTGTCGCTTTTCGATAAACCCCAAATCACGGAAGAATCTGGAGGAGCAAGAGCTCAAAACCCTGAAATTTGATTCGATAGTTTGATAAACGAAGCGTTTATGGATTGTTGGGGAACAATCTGAAGTTTGAAGTTAGCTAATTTCTAGGTGGGTTCGTTGAGAAAACATCTTCTCCTCTGTAATTTGAGAATCTGATTCTGAGAATTCCATAAAGAATAGCTAAGAATGTTCACTACTTCTTCTTGTCTTGCTTTTAGCTGACTAATCTAGTAATCTCTGTCTTGAAACTTGCAATAAAGCATAGATGTAGTATTAACTTCCATCGTTGGTATAGAATAAGGGGTTTGCCTAATCGTTTGAAATGATTCTGCAGATTTTAGCTCTTTAGACAAAAGCAAGGCGAGGAAGTCTTCTAGTATGTCGAGCAAAACTAGGGATGTGCTAGAAGGTCTGGTTAAAGATAGCTCACTGAAATGGTTGCTTGGGAAGCAAAGTTCCTTCGATGAAGAAATCGAGGAGATAGAGAATTCTCCTTCTGCTGGAGCTAATTGGATACGTGAGCTTTCTCCAGTAGCAAATGTGGTTATTCGCAGGTGTTCAAAGTAAGAATCACTCAAACCTTAATTACATTTTTTTTTTTTCAATCCATAAAATGAATTGGTTTTAAAGGGTTTGAAGAAGTTTAAGCCTTGTTCAAGATAATATAGCGTTTTGATATGCTAGTAGAATCCTTTGTTGTAGAATGGATTTGGATGTTAATTTAGAAAAGAACTCTGCTTTTGATTTGGTTCTGTATAGTAATGGGAAACCTTTTGATGCAGAATACTCGGAGTTTCAGTAAGCGAGCTACAGGATAGTTTCAACCAAGAGGCGTCTGGATCTGTGAAGCAGCCTTCAATGTTTGCAAGAAACTTTCTAGAGTACTGCTGTTTCAGGGCACTTGCACTCTCTGTGGGAGTAACAGGACATCTCAGCGATAAAGTGTTTCGGCGTTTAACTTTTGACATGATGGTTGCTTGGGAAGTCCCTTCTGCTGCTAGCCAGACATTACTCAGTGTAAGCGTTCTTGATTTCTGCGTTGTCCTTTGAATCTAGACCTGATCCTCATCTTTCAAACACTGGAACCAGGTTGATGAAGATCCAACCGTCGGTTTAGAAGCCTTCTCTCGGATTGCTCCAGCAGTTCCTATTATAGCTGATGTGATCATATGCGAAAATTTGTTCGGCGTGCTGACTTCTTCATCAAATGGTGTCCGGCTTCATTTCTCTGTTTATGACAAGTATTTGTATGGACTTGAAAGGTAAAACAAAAGCTTCCATCTCTAGAAACATTCTTTAGTGAAATCTGAAAGTTTTATAAATCCGGGGAACACTGTGTAGAGCAATAAAGAAGATGAAGAGCCAGTCCGAGTCATCTCTGCTCTCTGGTGTTCGATCAAAAGGAGAAAAGATTCTTGAGCTCGACGGAACAGTTACTACCCAACCAGTTCTTGAACATATTGGAATATCTACATGGCCAGGTACGTTTTGCTCTGTGCAACACAAGGTGTGTCTGATATATTTGGTTAGTTCCTCTCTATTCGGTTGATTGAATTGCGATATTGTTAAAATACCAGGTCGCTTGATTCTGACTGATCATTCACTCTATTTTGAGGCTATAAAGGTCGTGTCTTTCGACACACCAAAGCGTTATAGCCTATCTGAAGATCTGAAACAAGTAATCAAACCCGAGTTAACCGGTCCTTGGGGTACTCGGCTTTTCGATAAGGCCGTCTCTTACAAATCTATTTCTCTGTAAGGAATGATTCATTACGTCAATTACAAAGCTCTGTTTTGTTTCAATATTCTTTCTTATCTGGCTGATTTGGTAACATGGTGTAATGGCTCTCGTTTTGTAGACCAGAACCAGTAGTAATGGAGTTCCCTGAGCTCAAGGGACACACGCGTAGAGATTACTGGCTCGCGATAATCCGAGAAGTGTTATACGTTCACAGATACATAAACAAGTTTAAGATCATCTCTGGTGTGGCAAAAGACGAAGCTATTTCAAAAGCTGTGCTTGGTATCTTACGCGTGCAAGCCATTCAAGAACTCGGTTTAGCAAATCCAGTGCGTTACGAGAGTCTTCTCCCATTCAATCTCTGCGATGAGCTTCCTGGTGGAGATCATGTTCTTGAGACGCTTGCAGAGATGTCAAGCTCTAGAGTGCTTGACCGAACAAACAAAGCCAAAGAAGGTAACATCAGTTACATTTTATGCAAACTGTATTGTTCCTGATCTTACAGAATTGTATGCTGATATAAAACTTATTTTAACAGGGACATTGTACTCGATCTCGGCCTCAGATATGGTTTCTCAACTGGGTTTGATGTTTGGATCAAGTCCAAGGGGTAATAGTAGTAGTCTTGTGGTAGGTGAAGTAGTGGTTGGAGATGTGAATCCATTGGAAAGAGCGGTTAAGCAATCAAGAAAAAACTATGAGAAAGTGGTTCTGGCGCAAGAGACTGTTAATGGAGTTAAAGTCGATGGAATTGACACCAATTTAGCAGTGATGAAGGTAAAGTTACAAACACACAGCGATTATTAACATTCTTGCATTTACTTAGAAGAGATTTTGAGACCAATTTAGCTTTGTTGCAGGAACTGCTTCTTCCGGTTATTGAAATTGGGAATTGGCTTTTGTCGTTAGCGTATTGGGACGATACATTGAAGTCTTCTGTTTTCTGTCTCCTCTCAACTTTCATAATTTACAGGTAACATAGAACTTTTATGCGGTGCGTTTTGCTTATTAAGTTACAACTCTCTGAAATCGCTTTTGTTTAGGGGATGGATTGGCTATGTTTTGGCGGCTGCGTTTATCTTTGTATCGGGTTTCATAGTTCTCACGAGATGTTTTAGCAATAGAGAGAAAGCAATGATCGAGCTGAAAGTTATCGCGCCTCCTCCTATGAACACAATGGAACAGCTTTTAGCGGTTCAAAACGCGATTTCGCAGCTTGAACAGTTGGTTCAAGACGCAAACATTGTTCTCCTTAAGCTCCGAGCATTATTACTCTCGCTTTTCCCACAGGTCACTCTTCTCTTTCTCCCACATCTCTCTCTCTTCTTAGCGTTTTATGGACGTGATTACTAAGCGTTTTATAAATGTTTTGGGACAAACAAAAAACAAAAAAAACAGGCGAGTGAAAAGTTTGCGGTTGCGGTTGTGATCGCTGCGTTGATACTGATATTGGTGGCTTGGAACATTATAATTCTTGTGGTGTTTCTTGAGCTCTTCACAAGATATTCGCCACCGCGTAGACCAAGCACCGAGCGACTGATACGGCGGCTTAAAGAGTGGTGGTTCAGCATTCCGGCCGCTCCTGTGGTTCTCGAACAGAGGAAAGACGATAGCAAGAAAACCAAGTAAAATCACACGAAAGACGTACAGTAGTTGTTTTTTCATGTATCATCAATGTATGTATGTAATAGAAAATAATGTGTAATTTAGTTTGGTATGTTTGTATATTTTTACATGTATCATCAATGTATGTATGTAATAGAAAAGTGTATTACAGTATCAAAATGTCACATACACCAAAAACCAGTTAATCTCCGATTAACATACAAAAACATGGATTGTTTGCCGTTAAAAGAATAGAGATTATTTTATATTTCCCAACTTTGGTTTTTTTTTCTTCTCAAGAGAATTATTTTGTGCAAATTGTTTTTGTTATTTAAAAAGGTTTCCCGATTTTTAAATTCACAAATTGCCCACAAAAAAGGGAAAAAAGTATCCCACTTGCATTAAAAAAAAAGGAAAACTTAGCACGAATTTCTCTACGAGAAAAAAAGGTTTCCCGACCCGTAATTTCACAACTCATCATACACACGTGTCATATTTTGATTGACTATTGCTTCACCGCCTTACATAGCTCGCGCGTGAGTCGTGACCGAGTCGTCCTCATCCTTTAGTATAAATAAAGATCCCCCTAAGCCCTCTTCTCATTCACAAATTCACTTTCCGAAACCTAAATTCATCTTTTCAATCCTCATCGCGAATTACGATCAAGGTAGATTTCTGATTTCTTAATAGAGATTTCTGTTCTCCTCTTGATTTATTCGTTTACATCTTGAGTTGTTAAAGCGTCGATCTGTGTTTTGCTTTCATACTAGATCTGTGATTAATTTCTTGATCGGATCTGATTCGTGTTTGTGCGATCGAATTTTTGTAGATCGAAGCAATTTCGTTGATCTGAGTTTTTTCCCCATAAATTGGTTATTGAAGTTATTCTTTTCTGAAATTCAGATGCAGATCTTCGTTAAGACTCTCACCGGAAAGACGATCACCCTCGAGGTGGAAAGTTCTGACACGATCGACAACGTTAAAGCCAAGATCCAGGATAAGGAGGGAATCCCACCGGATCAGCAGAGGCTTATCTTCGCCGGAAAGCAGTTGGAAGACGGCCGTACTCTTGCCGATTACAACATCCAGAAGGAATCTACTCTCCATCTGGTTCTCAGACTCCGTGGAGGTATGCAGATCTTCGTCAAAACCCTAACGGGAAAGACGATCACCCTCGAGGTGGAGAGTTCTGACACCATCGACAACGTCAAGGCTAAAATCCAAGACAAGGAGGGGATCCCACCAGACCAGCAAAGGCTGATCTTCGCCGGGAAGCAACTCGAGGACGGACGAACTCTTGCTGACTACAACATCCAGAAGGAGTCGACTCTTCATCTAGTGCTCAGGCTTCGTGGTGGTATGCAGATTTTCGTTAAAACGTTGACGGGCAAGACCATCACCTTGGAGGTTGAGAGCTCGGACACAATTGACAACGTTAAGGCCAAGATCCAGGACAAGGAAGGCATCCCTCCGGATCAGCAGAGGTTGATCTTCGCCGGAAAGCAGCTTGAGGACGGCAGAACATTGGCTGATTACAATATCCAGAAGGAGTCGACTCTTCATCTGGTGCTCAGGCTTCGTGGAGGTATGCAGATTTTCGTTAAAACCTTGACCGGCAAGACGATCACATTGGAGGTGGAGAGCTCGGACACGATTGACAACGTGAAGGCAAAGATCCAAGACAAGGAAGGCATTCCTCCGGATCAGCAAAGGTTGATCTTCGCCGGAAAGCAGCTTGAGGACGGCAGAACATTGGCCGACTACAACATTCAGAAGGAGTCTACACTTCACTTGGTGTTGCGTCTCCGTGGTGGTATGCAGATCTTTGTGAAGACACTCACTGGCAAGACGATTACACTCGAGGTGGAGAGCTCTGACACAATCGATAATGTCAAGGCCAAGATACAGGATAAGGAAGGCATTCCTCCGGATCAGCAGCGTCTCATCTTCGCCGGAAAGCAGCTCGAGGATGGTCGCACATTGGCCGATTACAACATTCAAAAGGAGTCGACTCTCCACTTGGTGTTGCGTCTGCGTGGTGGTATGCAGATTTTCGTGAAGACTTTAACCGGCAAGACGATCACCCTTGAAGTCGAGAGCTCCGACACCATTGATAACGTCAAAGCTAAGATCCAGGACAAGGAAGGCATCCCTCCGGACCAGCAGCGTCTCATCTTCGCTGGAAAGCAGCTCGAGGATGGTCGCACATTGGCCGATTACAACATTCAGAAGGAGTCGACTCTTCACTTGGTGTTGCGTCTGCGTGGTGGTATGCAGATTTTTGTGAAGACCTTAACCGGTAAGACCATCACACTGGAGGTTGAGAGCTCGGACACCATTGACAACGTGAAGGCGAAGATCCAAGACAAGGAAGGGATCCCTCCGGACCAGCAGCGTCTCATCTTCGCTGGGAAACAGCTTGAGGATGGTCGCACATTGGCTGACTACAACATCCAAAAGGAGTCGACTCTTCACTTGGTTCTCCGTCTTCGTGGTGGTTTCTAAAAACCTACTTCTGGCTACTCTTTTATGTTTTTTCCTAAAATCGTTTCTGTTTCGTGTTTCTAAGACTTCTCATGGTTTGTGACTTTGTGTTTTGGGTGTACTTTATAAAGGCCCTTGATAAATAAATGGTGAAGTATGTCCGGTTCCTTATTTCTCTTTTCGTTATATGACATTGTATTTCTCTATGTGTGTGTATTAAATTCACATTTTCTGCTTGTGGGTCATCTTCCCTTCACAGTTTGCTAATGGTTTGTAATAAGTGCAATGTGTCCGACCATTTAAAGGAATGTGGTTACTTGGAAGATAGGAATAATAGACTCGTCCCTGTAAAAATATGGGAATATATACGATGCCATGAAAACTAATGGAAGCCTTTCTGGTCAATAGAGATATTGTGTAATTTGTAATTAGTTACGTATGTTTCTATATTTTATAATTTATACCATAAACCCGATAAACGATTGTCATACGGAAAGAAAATATACGTTCCGTGGTAAAATCAATCACATATTACTGAATTAAAACGCAGGATACAAAAATAATAATGTTTTTTTCTTTCCGGGGGCACAAAATTAAACATTTTTTTTTATTCATAATAATCACACAACAAAAGCAAAAGCCTCCTCTCTGTCTCAGTCTACCTTCTCGAGTTTGCTTACAAAGCATTGTCAAGTGGTTCCTGCAAGTCTGGATTTATTGGGAACAAGTGGCACTGTGCGTATTGCGCCATCAATTGGTCCACAAGAACTAAAGCAACCATTGCTTCCACCATTGGCACAGCTGCAACAAAACCCAAAATCAAATCTCAAGCAGTAAAATTAAAGAAACCAATTCAGTGGGTTTCTGGTTTATATGTAATAACCTCGTGGAACAACACAAGGATCATGACGTCCACGAGCAATCATTTCGGTTTCTTTCTTGTCTCGGGTTACGGTATTCTGCTTCTTCTGCAAATTGGAAAGAGGATACCAATGTAACGATTGATGCTTTCAAGCAAATGTTTGTATGTTCATATGGAAGCTGCACAGGGGTTTCATCACAAACTTACTCCAATTGTAGATGTTGGCTTGAAGGCTATTCTCATGTTTATTATCTCACCATTTGATATCCCTCCCTACGTAAAATTAACAATATCAGCAAATCTCTCAAGAGAAAAGTAATTTATTGACTAAACACAAGTCACAAGACTTAACCAACCTGAATTCCACCGGACCGGTTTGTTTTAGTCCTTATTCTTCCATTTTCATCGGTATAAAACTCATCATTGTGTTCAAGACCAGTCAAAAAGGTACCTACGGGTTCACCACAAATACGATTTTTACTGCTCAAGAAGGGGTTTTAAGTAGCTAAAGAAAAGCAAAATTTAACTTCTATATACCTGAGAAGCCACTTCCAAACTCAAAGCCCTTTGTTGCAGGTAATGACATACAAGCTTTCGCAAGTTCTGCTTCAAGTTTATCGAAAACCGGTGTACCAAGACCCTGCACATAGTAGTTTCAATAATCATTCGCTGAAGTTCTTGCAATCAAACTTGAGGAAGAAACACAGATTATAAAGTCTTTCAATGGTTTAGTGAGTTCATACACGTGGAGCATTCTTGACGATGCAGGTCACAACACCACCAACAGAGTTCCCTTTTGTCCTGACAGCATCAATGGCAGCTATCATCTTTTCCGCATACTCAGGATTAGGGCACCTGACAATGTTACTTTCTATCTGGAAGACGAATAAAGTTAGTAAGAATGTTACTAGAAGAACCTCAATAAGGTATGCTATACTTTCAAAGTAGATGCGCACCTGTTCAAGTGTCAAATTCTCGTGGTCCACCAAATCCTCTGGAAGTACAACCTGATGGACTTGCGAGACATAGGCAAGAATCTTGAGACACACAAAAAAGAAAAACAGAGACAGATGTAAGCAAATTTAAAAGAGCGGCATGAATCCGTAGAAAAATGTGTTACTGAGTTAAATTACTAAGGGACTTCCTCTTTGCAAGGATATACAGAGATAGACAAAACAGAGAGATGAAAGACTAAACAAAACACCAGAAGGGATATAAAGAAATCGACGTTAAATGATTCTTCAAGAGCAATGCTATTTGCAAAATCAGAAAAGTAAACACACCTCAGAGCAATGCTATTTGCAAAATCAGAAAAGTAAACACACCTCAGTCCCTGCAAATTGCTTCAGGATTTTTTTGGCCAATGCTCCAGGAGCAACTCTTCCTATGGTCTCTCTTGCTGAAGATCTCCCACCACCCTTGGAAAAATTTACACTTTAGAAGTCAGTAGAGTGCCTTCAAACTATAAGAATTCCTTACCAAGAAAGTAACATTTAAATAAGATACACAAATTGATGTAAGGTGTTACCTGCACTGATCTGACACCATACTTCATGTCATAAGTTGCATCTGCATGAGAAGGCCTATAGGCAACCGACATTTCACTGTAATCCTGAAAATTCAGCGAGTCTCTCAAAGGTTACAATCTACAGAAAAAAAACCCCAAGGTTTCTATTCGATTCTGCCTTAGGTACTAACATGACTAAAGATCTGCTTTCTTCTCTAATGCCAATAGCAAACATCTATTTGAACAATATCGAGTACATTTAAATGCATAGATGTGTCAAATACTTACAAGTCCTCTCTGGTCTGTGTTTGGCACAAACACATGGATAGGTGTTCCTGTCGTCAATCCTGCATTTTTACAGACGTCAACAGTTAGAACATGGGTGTGTGAAAACCAAATCAAACGCAAATCTGTGAAAAGAATCATAAGTAGACCTTCGGAGACTCCAGAAGATATCCGGCAAGTATCAGTCTCTTTTCTAGGAGTCGTGATCCGGCTCTGACCGGGTCTCCTGATAAAGCAAACCAACATGTAAAATCCATCAAGAGATCATCATAATCAGAAATATAAATTCGAAAAATAAAATGTTACAAAAGCTTTCTTCCTCAAAAACTACCTCCTATCAAGATCATACTGCAAATCAGATTCAGAGAGTGGAATCCGAGGAGGACATCCATCGATTATACAACCAACTCCTCCTCCATGTGATTCTCCAAAAGTGGAAACTCGAAAATGAGTCCCATATGAGCTTCCAGTAGCTTGTATCTCTGCGAATTTAGACACCCAATAATCCAAAACTCTTTAAAGCTTTATACTTTTGCATCTACCACTTGTTCTTTTAAAGGAATGTGAATCAATTCAGTCACTAAAACTACCACAAAATATAAATGATCATCAATATGATAACGAGTATGATTCTAATTAGTAGCTTGAATCTGAAAATTTCCCCTAAAATACTCAAATTAAAACCAAAGGCTTGAATCTGAAAATTTTCCCAAAACAATCGGACGAATTCGCCTAACATTTCGTGCAGAATGAGAACGAAAGGAGACCCAAATAAACACAGAACAGAAAAACTCACGGAGGTTCTTTCTGGTTTGGGTTCGGATTGAGATCTGAACGGCAGGAGACGAGAGACGACGGAGCTCCGACGGCAGAGAAGGCGAAGAAGCGGGTTTGGTGGATCCGAGAATGGATTTGGAAGTGAGAGAAGACGCCATGATCAGGAATCTAAGAAGAAGAAAAGAGGATTGAGAAAGGTTTTTTAAAAGGAGGGAGAAAAATGGAGTTAGGTGGAAAATTTGGGGGTTGGTGGCTAAATATATATGCCTTTGTGGTCGTCGACTCTTCTTCCCTCTGCAACTGGAGGCGCAAAGGCAAAATCTCTTCCACCTACCAATACACTAACCCAGACGAAAGAGAACCAAACCCAAATGTTTTCTTCTCTTTTTTAAAACCCAAATAACTGAATCAAACCGATAACGAGTTTTGGTTTTCACCGGTTTTGGTTTATTTCCCATATGGGGGGAAGAAATTGATAAGAAGGAAAAAAAAAAAAAAAAAAAAGATACAGCACTTTCACTTTACAAGCTGAAATTTTAAACCCAACATATGTTATTTCAAGACCACTGAGTTTAATGAATCAGGAACACTGAGTTTAGATAAACAAAAATTATCATTTTAATACAATTCATTGTAATTCTAAATTAAATACACCTCTAAATTTTATATAAAATTGCAAAAGAATGTTACCAAGATAAATCATAAAGCATTTGTGCTTTATTTTCTATTGAATTGTTCGCTTCTAGAAATTTTAATTTGTTTACCTCAAAAATTGTAATAATGGTTATAAGTTCGGTATCTACATCAAAAGCTTTAAGTTCGGTGTCTTTGTCTCCTCCGAACTTCTTAATGTCTTCACCAAATCTAGGAAGAACCTTGACTTCCTCCTGTACCTTCTTGAAACCGGAACTCGTCTTGGTGTCAAATGAAGCTGTCTTATGTCTAGAAAACCATATTGCACTAGATTCACTGATCTCTGGAAAAATATATATAGCTAAAGTGAATAGTATTAAGTTGGCTGTGGTGGTCATTTACCATTAAGAAAAAAAAAAACATAAATGAAAGTGTTTTTTTTTTTTTTTGCTAAGTATTTGAATTTCATCAAAAAAAAATGAGAAGGATTGTAAAAATTGTACAAAGGTGCTAAACAAGATAGAAACATCTTTGGCAAAAAAGAATAAAAAACAAGAAAGATCCTAATTCAGAGTTACAAACAACATATGGAAAGATTTTACTCATAAGTGAACTAAGTTTGAATTAGGTCACTAAAAGATTTTTTTTTTTAATCAAAAATTGCATCACGAACAAGACGGTTGATCTTTTTGAAGATTGTCGGCGGTGTAGATGACACGTTACTGAAAAGACTATTGTTGAAACGTTGTTCCTCTCAAACCAGATGAAGTAAATTGTAGATTGAGCTATTAAACGCCTTAAGGTTCTAGGGCATATGTTGTCTTTGAATCCTAGCCAACACCTGAAGGCAGTCCAGGCGTGAAAACCAAAAGAATGATAGCCTAAGTGTTCCTTGAAACTTGAAGAAAGGTCTCAATGATCTTATACATCGAGGAAATTTCTTATAGATGTGTTTTTATGTCATCGGTTATAAGATATTGTGTTTAGATGAATATAATTTGAAAGGGGTTATGACAAAGAAAAATAACATTTATTATTCCATCTTAAAGTCGTAAAAAAGCATCGGTTGTAGGATTTAACTTAAGCTTCCTTGTTATCATGTTGTTTATATATTGTGCTATATTTCGATGAATATGAAAAACTCTTATTAAAATTGATAAAATCTGATTTAGAA